GCTTGCTTCCAGGAATGAATTCAGGAGTATTGCTTCCCTTTCAATTTCATTGAAGAATTTAAACAGTAGTGGCAGTAGCTGCTCTCTAAATGTCTTGTAGAATTCGGCAGTGAAGCCATCAGGACCCAGGTTTTACTTAGCTGGTAAGTTTTTAATTATGTTTTTAATTTCATTGGTTGATATTGGGTTATTTATAATTTTTAGGTCTTCTTCGTTCAACTTTGGTAATTCATACATACCTAGGAATCTGTCCGTTTCTTCTGGGTTTTCCATCTTATTGGCGTATAGATTCTTGAAGTAGGTATTGATGATCTTCTGGATTTCTGCTGGATCTGTTGTAATTTCACCCTTTTCATTCCTAATAGCATGGATTCGGGCCTTTTCTTTCCTTTTTCTGATAAGTTTGGCTAAGGGTTTGTCAATTTTGTTTATTCTTTCGAAGAACAAATAGAATAAAGATTTTTGTTTTCTTAACCTTTACCCTAAGAAACATTTAATAATGTATTCCTTATCTTTGTCACACATAGATAACACATACACACTCACTGGTAACTTTGGTATGTGCCTTATAAGTTAAGTATGTGGATGAATGCAACTGCACACACACACACACACATACACACCAGCATGCTTGCATAATCAGAGTTTAATGAGATCCCATTATTTATGTAGCAATGATTGAAACTTTTTTGGCACCAGAGACTAGTTTCATAGAAGATAATTTTTCCTTGTGGATGGTGGGTTTGGGATGATTCAAAGGAGCCGCAGCCCAGATGCCTGGAAGGCACAGTTCACAATAGGATTTGCATGCCCATGAAAATCCAGTGGCCCTGCTGATCTGACAAGAGACTGGAGCTGATGCCGCATCACCAGTAACAGGGAGTAGCTTTGATAGACAACTGCTTGGCTCCTCCTGTGAGGTCTGGTTTCTAACAGATCATAGACCCACCCAGTGTCCTGGTTGGAGACCCCTGCTGTGTAGCTTCTCTATTAGCTATACAGTGTGAACTTTTTCTCCAATTATAGTAATAAACTGTCTTGCCTTATGAGCTTTAATACTTGCAGAGAATTTCAGTGTGGTATTGTACCACAATTATTTTAAAGTAGCAAAGTATTTTTAACATGGACATTTAAAAAATTATTATTCAAATGTATTTTTAAATGTTGATCTTCTAAGTGTTTTGTATATCTTAGGACATGTTAGAAAAAAATAAACTAAGCAAAGCTTCTACAGTGGGTAGCTGCATACATTTTAGACCAACACACAGAGTAACCTTTGAGAATCATTTAGAGTATCCATGTTTCTGTTCTAGGAAAGTTCCAGCTCTTTTACCTAAAAAATAATTTTTAAAATACATAGAAAAGAAAATCAGTAATCACTAAATATGGGATTTTCTTTTTTCTTCCTTAAAAAAGCAAATTGTGTTTCCACCCCATTCCATTCCTACAACTCAGAAGAACCTCATGACATAAGTTAATCTGTCCCTCCTTGTTGGATGCTAGGTTCATTAGTAAAGTTCTGGGAGCCAACCTCAAATAAAGCTGAGGCTCATATCTATTTTGCTGTCTATTTCTGATTCCTTTGTCCTTGTTTTGGATTTCTCTGACTGGTTACTAGAGAACCCAGTCCTATCCCTTTTGTTGACAGGTTACCATGATATATCTAGGCGACAAAGGCTGGGGTTCTGGTTACCCAGCAACCCTATATACGAAAACAAACTCTCACAAGAGGGATGTAAATTTTGGAGCTTCCAACTATTCTGCCCCTGTTTCTACCAGCCTTCTCCCTGAATATTCAGAGGGGCTTGGCAGGCCATGGTTAAAGCAAAATAGCAAGATAAAACACAAATGTTATAAGGTAAGGCTCTCAGATTTTTCTTTTCAACTAACAACTGCTTACTTCAGATACTCTTGTTCTCTTCTACTTCCTTCTCATCAGTAGGCAATAAATATTTTTAAAATATTGAAAATAAAAATAATTAGACCTTAAGTAAGGAACTTCAAATACTCTAAATGATATCATTTTACTTCACTGGATAGTAGGGCAATGATGGATGAACTATAGATTAAATGTTCTTATGGCCAAAAGATAATCAAATTCCATTTAAAGGGATAATGCTTTAAATAATTTTTCTCAAAGAAAAGTAAATAGGCTTTTAATATTAATCCAATGCTATATGTTTATTGGCTAGCTTATCTATGAAAGCAAAATGGTGATAAAAACTACAGTTATCTCAGTTGGGTAGGCTGTTTTTAATTGAGATAAAATCTACATGGAGTGAAATATAACAAATCTTGAGTTGTTATATTCAAGTTCCTAAAATCAATGAGCTTAATACAACCATCACCTAAATCAAGGCATATGACATTTATAGCAACCTGGATAATTTCCTCACATTCTTTCTGGTCAATCTCGCCTCTACTGTTTTGATTCCTGTCACCAAAGAATAATTTGGCCATTCATGAAATGAATATACATAGAATTGTCTTAGTTACTTTTTCTTGTTGCTGAGACAAATTACCTGACACCCAAAGTTAAAAGAGGAAAGATTTATTTAGCTCACAGTTTGTAGAAGTTTCAGTCCATAATTGGCTGGCTCCAAGGCAGAGTGGCCTGCCAGACAGATATCACAGAGGGGAAACAGTGCATGGCAGGCACAAGGTAGCAAAGCAAGAAAGGAAGGCATCAGCAACAAGCCTGTTTCTGTCCCTTGTATCTTATCTAGGCTACCTGCTCTTAGGGTGGATAGTACTCCCTCTTAATCCCAGTGCCCTTGAGCCTAGCATTGCTCCATAAGTCAATCCCAGAATCACACATTCCAGATCCAGCTACCTCTGAAAAGCTCCACCTATGACCACATGAGGCTTTGGAGGAACATCTAGACACAAGCCATAAAAATCATAAAATATATGTTCCTATCTTTGACTTCTTTGACTCAGATAAGTGTTTTGATATTTTTCCGTGTTGCTTTGTATATTAGTGTTTCAATTTTTTAAGACTTAGTATAGTTGCAGTTGTAATTATTTCACATTTATCTATTCTAGCAATTTGCATTTGGTGTGCTTTCAGTGTGTTCCTCCTGTAACTAAGCAGCTATAAATATTCTTGTGCAAGTCTTTTTTCCTCCCAATTTCATTTAAAAAATTGTTTTTCTGGCTTTATCAGTATTTTTGACAAAAATTGCATATATCTAGGGAATACAATGAGATGCTTTGATGCATGTATGTGTTGTGAATTGATTACCACAATCAAGCTGATTAAAGGTATTTATCATCTCACACAATTACCTTTTCATCTTCCTTTCTTTTTCTTTCTCCTTTCTTTCTTTTTTTCTTTCTTCCCTCCCTCCCTCTCCCCTTTCTCTTTCTTCTTTTCTTCCTTTCTCTTTCTTTCTAAAGAGAATATTTGTGATCCACTTATCTACTCTCAACCAATTTCAAGTAGACAATACATTAATATTAACTATAATCATTATGTTGTATGGTAGGTTTCCAAGTAATTCTTTGTCATACAGCTGAAGGTCTGTACCCTTTGATAATGTTTTCCCTTTAACTCCAACCACTGGTAACCACCTTCTACTCATCTGACCCACAGATATATAAAAGATACTTGACATTACTTATCCTCAAGGAAATGGAAATCAAAACCACAGCAAGTAGAGCTGGGGATGTAGCTCAGTGGTGCCATGCCTGCCCGGCAAAAGGAAGGTCCTGAGTTCGATCCCCAGTATGGAAAAAACCAAACCAAAACAAAAACAAAAAAATTAATGGAAAACTGTAAGTTATGACCTGAAACCTATTAGAATGGCTCTTATAAAAAAGATGGATAGCAATCCCACTTCTGATATATATCCAAAGACAACAAAATCAGCATATTGCAGTAGTGTCTGCACTGTCATGTTCACTGCAGCATTATTTAATGGCCAAGATATTACCTAAGTGTCCATGTGTTCATCAAAGATGCATGAATAAATTGTGTGATATATATCACTAT